GGTAAGTCCAGAGCTTCCCGCTAGAATAGCTACACGGCAGTTACGATGGACATCCTTGTATCTAGATATATCTCAATCTCTTGGTCCCGAAATAACTGCTTGGAAATACATATCACATCCCGGATATTTTGCTTAGCTCAATCTCTCGGTCCCGAAATAACTGCTTGGAGATACACATCGGATCCCGGATATCTTGCTTAGCATTTTGATTGGCATGCCGCGTGGATTCCGCATCGGAACATATAAATACCTCTTAAGGGCCACGCCAAAAGGTAATTGAAATCAACCCTAAGCTCCTTGTTTTTCCGCTTCAAAGGTAACCCCGATTATTACTGACTTAAGCATCGGAGTGTCTACCCCGAGGATCCACCTCGGGGCTTTGCAGGTCAATCTAGAGAGCAGATACGGACTGAAGAAGGACTTCCGGTTTGGTGCAGTTACATTTTTGGCGTCGTCTGTGGGAAATTGAACTAAAGGCTCTTTTGTTGCTCTTATCATGGTGAAAACTAGGTCAGCCCGAGGTGGAAACTCGTCTCAGCCTCTTGGACGAGGTCAGGTTCCCAGCAACCTTCCGCCTCATCCCCCACCCCCAATCCCAAATACGGTCCCTTCTGTGGACCATGCAGAAGGAGAAGACGAAAATCAACCACACAATTCGGTTAGCAACTCAGCCTATACTGCTAACCAAGACGTAGTCGCAACTCAGCTCGCTGCCATGCAGCAGCAGTTTGGTGTTTTTCAGTTAGTGCTGGCCCAGTTATTAGCCCGGAACAATCCTGGTGATCCACTCATCAACCTACTTAATCCTGCTCCGTAGCCTTCAGCCCCACCACAAGATCCTGACCCAGTTCAACATGCTCCCCCTGTTAGTGAATCTCAGGGCCAATCTCACATCGCACCAGTTATGCAACCCCCTCGTGATGATGTCACTCGACGTTTAGATAGCTTAGAAAAGCTAGTGGTCAAACAGCGAGGCATCCCACCTCCACACCCTGCTGCTGACTCCGTACCTCACCCTCTCAACACCAATATTATACTGGAACCCTACCCCGCTGGCTTCCGAATACCACAGCTTGAAACTTATGACGGGACGAAGGACCCCGATGATCATTTACATGCTTTTTACTCTTGCATGCAGGCCCAGAATGCCTCTGACGCGTTGATGTGCAAAATCTTTCCCTCTACTCTCCGAGGTAATGCTCGAACCTGATACTACAGTCTGCCTCCGAGATCAATCAACTCGTACACAGAACTGGCATATGCTTTTGCCACAAAGTTTTCCAGTAGAAGGTTGATCAGGAAAACCATTTCTGAGCTGATGCGGGTTAGACAGAGGGACGGAGAGTCTTTGAAGAATTTTATGAGCAAATTCAATGATGCAGTGCTAGAGGTTAACTCTTTCGACCAAGCAGTGGGCATTACAGCTGTGATCTCGGGTCTCGGCCATGAAAGATTCAGAGACAGTCTGCTTAAACATCCCGCCACCACCTTCAGTGAGGTAAACGATAGATTGTTGAAATTCATAACGGCTGAGGAATATGCCCTGTCGCAACACCTAACTCCTATTAAGAGCCAACACCCGGACTGGAGAGATGAGAATCCGAACAGGAAACGGATGAAGACAACACAGAACCGAGGTCCGATGTCGACTTCCACCCCGAGATTCGGAAGGCCGAACTCAGCACTTCCGCAACAACCTACAGGTAAACCTCCAGTGAATTGGACTCCTTTTAATTTGCCGAGGTCACAAATTTTTATGCAGATTAAGAGTAAAATGGACTTACGACGTCCGGGTCCAATGAAAACTGCTGCTGCTACCAGAGACCATACTAGATACTGTGATTTTCACCGGGATCACGGTCATATAACAGAGCAATGTAATAGTCTGAGGTCCGAACTGGAAAGTCTGGCACAGAAAGGAATGTTGAATGAGTATATCCAGAGAGTGGAACAGCCAAGGTTTGTCAGAGAACAAGGGCCACAGCATCAAGCAATCCGCAATCCCCCAAACAGACAAGGTGTGGGATATCAGCAAGCCCCACCCCCACTCCCACCACCAGCTAGAGTCATACACATGATTACGGGAGGTTTGGAAGCTGGTGGACTGAGCTCTAAGCAGCGGAAGCTGTATGTCAGAGAGGTTAGGCATCAGAACCGAGCTCAGAAACAAAAATTTGACGATGCTGAGTGGAAGAATCAACCCATCACTTTCACGTCTGCTGATCTTGAAACAGTTGTCACACCTCACAATGATCCTCTAGTCACTTCTGTCACAATCAACAATTGTGAGGTGCAGCGTGTCCTTGTTGACACCGGGAGTGCACCAGACATCATGTACTTCCATTGTTTTGAGAGTCTTGGGATAGATCCAACTCTGTTGCAGCGGTATGATGGTCCCATCTACGGGTTCAACAACCAACCAGTTCCAGTTGAAGGAGTCCTCACCATGAATGTTGCCTTTGGAAGTGGCCGCAGTTATGTGACCCCTTCAGTAAGGTTTTTAGTGGTCAAGATGGCGTCCTCTTTCAACGCTGTCATTGGCCG